TGGCTGCCCTTGTCCCCCAGGCCAATCTCTCAGCTCCTATTGGCTGGTTGTTTCCAGCCTGTAGGAGCTGAAGATTGAGCTGGAGGAAGGGAGATCACAAAGCCTCCCTGCAGAGCAGAGAGTCACAGGGACTGCACTTTAAACCACAGCAGCTGCGTGCCTGAGGGTCCTGGCAGGGTGGTCCATGGGCCTGATCCGGTGGCTTGGCAGGATGGATCTAGCCCCCAGGCCGTATTTTGCCCAGCCTTACCTTTCAGCCTACTCTATTAGCCTCACTTAGCATTGACACTTTAATTTGCAGGGTTTTTTTCTTCCCCACTCTCTCCCCTCTTTTTCTGCTTTATAATTCAACCTCTGTGCCTTCTGCTCCATATCTGTCAGCTGAAGAAGTGGGTTGTGCCCACAAAAGTTCATGATACTATCTATATATATTTTTGGTTAGTGTCTAAGGTGCTACAGGACCCTTTTTTTTTTGGTTACACAAATGGAATCTATGCCATACCTATACCTACAAGAAGCCCTGCTGGTTTTTCTGGGGTTCGATATCTGAGATTCTATGGATCACCTCACACAGCAGTGCTTGTAGTGCATGGGAGGGGGGAACAAACATACTTCTTGATTCTGTTCAGTTGCAAGAAACCTCAATAATAATTACAGCCTCAAAAAAGGCTGATGAACAAGGTCCTTTTCAAACTTACCACAAAGGCCATATGTTTTTGAAGAAAAACTCCTTGGATTAAGCTGAAGAGTAAATTCATTGTTTCTTGGTGTGAACGTGAAGGTATATTCAAGCTGGGAGAACCTGATCTCATGCATTATTGATCCATAGATGGATACTTCAAAGTAATCATCACTATAGGGAACAGTAGTCATTTTTCCATTAACAGCAACCTGTTTCAAGAAGGTGAGAAGACCCAATCAGTTTTGCCTACCAACTAAAATAAATTGGGAATCTCTAGATTCTATAAACCTTCAGCACACTTTAACTTCATAAGGGACTGAAGATCCAACTGAATTTATACAAGTCAAGAGAATAAAAACAATATAAAGACTAGACCAAGTTGCATGTGGAGTCTCTGCTTTGAAGGAAGAAATGCATAAAATGGATTATGTGCTCCTTTTTGGTGCTTGAATGTATTTAGTAAACACTGTCCCATTTGGAGCATCACATATATTAACAGGCTACAGGTTCAGTCACATAAGGTGTTTAATGGCTGTTGTTGGTAGTTGAGTACCATATAGCACTTTGTCTGATTAGATCCAAATATTCTAATTTCATTGTCATTAGCCTTGAATTTGGAATGAAAAGCCCTCCTCCGTTTATTGAGCAAGAAATACAGTATGGCAACAAAAAATCATCGGTGGACAAGAAACTATGGACAACCATGAAAGAACTCAAAGGCAATACAGGACTACAAGGCACATAGGGTGTGTCTACAGTAGCCCCCTAGTTCAAACTAGGGAGGCTAATGTAGGCATTTGAACTTGCAAATGAAGCCCGGGATTTAAATATCCCGTGCTTGATTTGCATGCTCCCATCCGGTCGCCATTTTTAAATGCCACTAGTTCGGACTAACTGCCCGCGGCTACACGCGGCAGTTAAATGGTAATTCAAAGTAAGTCCTTAGTTCGAATTACCGGTTACACCTCATTCCAGGAGGAGTAACTGGTAATTTGAACTAAGGACTTAGTTCGAATTACCGTTTAACTGCCGCATATAGCTGCGGGCAGTTAGTCCAGACTAGTGGCATTTAAAAATGGCGACCGGACGGGAACATGCAAATAAAGCCCGGGATATTTAAATCCCGGGCTTCATTTGCAAGTTCAAATGCCTACATTAGCCTCCCTAGTTCAAACTAGGGGGCTAGTGTAGACATACTCACAGTGTGTTGCAGATACTGTTTTGTGTGTGGTCGGAGATAACATGCAGAACTGCATCTGACTTGGAGCAGACACTGAAGCTTTCTGTAACTTTTCTGTAGTTCATATAGGATGTTTCTATGTAAATATGGGAAAGGTCTTAAAATTAGCTCTACCTTGTAATTAGTCAATTTTTGTATGTCTGAGTTGCCTAGCTTTGCATTAAACATTTGAACAGCAACTTCCATGACTATTAAATTAACACCTATTTGTCTGCCAAGTAAATGTTAGACACACTGGGACAGATTATCTGCTAGGGCTGAGATCCACTCATTGCAGCTGTTGCATGAGAGGTCAGAAAGCCAGTTATGGCGCCGTGATTCTCTCTCTTTGAAGTCCTTGAACAGGTTAGATCAGCTCTTGGGCTGCTCTAACAGGCGCCAGTTGACAATAACCCACAAGGGACTATTCTCTCATTAAAAAGAACCAGAGTGCAATACAGTCTGGCCATGCCCGCCTGCCTGTTCTCAGAATGCCAATGCAGAAAAGGAGTGCCTGATTTCATTGTCTTTGCATTGCCAGGGTAGTACAAAGGAGATGGAGCAAAGGTGCAAATTTAGCACATCATATGGATAGAGACTTTACTCTGGAATCAATCAATACGGATAAAGATTTTAGGAGCATAAGAAATAAAATACTGTAAATAGAAAAAACGCCCTGTAATATAAGTACTGAAAAAGGAGAGCATGTCTCCCTTCTCATAGTTGTAGTTTGATCAGAGAAATGTACAGCTATCTCATTGTGCATGGCTTACTGTCATGTCACTCGTGAGCTGTATTGATGTGCCATGGTGCTTCACTTCTATGGAGTTCATACAGTTTAGTTTTGGTATTGAACTGCATGCCCCGTTGTGGAGAATCACTTCAATGTCATGTTCTTTGTCTTGAAACAATGTATAGGAGCAATTCCCAGTCAATTTAAAATGCAGCCCGTCAAAGGTGACAATATGTTGAGTTGAACTGCCCATGCACATGCCTGCAAAAGTGAAGAGAAAGGAAAGATGATTATCTCTGTGATGCCAGCAGTCCGGGTGCTAGCTCCTTCCCAGGCTGCAGCCATTAGCTAAGAACGGACAAACCAATAGCTGGAGACCAGACCAGTTCACTTATGTGTTAGTGATGCTCAGGATAGGTGCGAGTCTTAGAAGAATGTATTTAATGTTCACACTGTATAGAATATTTGTAAATTGCTACACACATTAATCTTATTTGTAATGTCGGTATTCCGTGCTATAAGGAAATGAGGTAAGGTTTGCTTTATAACTTTGCAGCTCTCATAGGGCCAGAGACACTAAACAAAATCAGAGATCTCTAGGGGCTACCCCTAGGTCCATGCTGAAAGACATTTTGAATTAATCAATCACTACAACTTTGTCACTTTTAGGATTTAGATTGCAACTTCCTTGCGTGTATATGTCTACTCATTTTAACCTTTAAATAACTCTTATTTCTCTTTCTCAGTTAATAAGCCTTTGGATAATTTACCACAGGATTGGCTACAGGAATGGCTACAGGAATATCTTTGTCATTGTCATTATCTCTATTCTCTTGAGTCTGAGCTTGAATACACAGACATCTGTGTGAAGAACCCACTGAAAAGTATAAAGTTAATTGATAAAAAAAGTTTAAGTTCAATATTTCATCCAATCCCAGAAGAGAAAGAAAACCTATCATTGTCTCGTGATTAAATGAAGTTTTTCTAATTGCCCCATTATTACAAAATAGTCACATAAGATTGGGGCAGATCTTGTATATTCAAGATGTTTCCTAGAGAGTTTGAGTTTCTATTAAAGATGAGCTCCAAAGGAGAAAATAACTGAGTCTATGTCCTTTTCTCCCTTTATGATGTATGAAAAAAGGCATGAAAAGGGTATTTTTGTTATTTGTTTTAATTTTTTTATTTTTTCCTGGAAGATGGGAGAACTAGCAGGATGATGAGCTGACAAGTACTAAGGAAGTCTCAGGGGGTAGCCATGTTAGTCTGTAACTGAAAAAAAAATTAAAATAACATGAATAGTTCTGCAACACCTAAGAGACCAACAAAACATGTAGAGGGTATCATGAGCTTTCGTGGGCACAACCCACTTCTTCAGCAAACTTCTAATCTCAATTTTAAGCAAATAAAGTTTCTAAAACACTACAAGCTGAACCTCTCTAGTCCAGCACCATCAGGACCTGACCAATGCCAAACCATGAGATGTCAATATTGTCTCACAGCATTACCAACACTTTCACTGCTTATTGGGCTCTTAGAAGACACAGGGATAAATTAGAGCTACGTAGCAGCATAGAACATTGAGAGCCCAGGACTGGTGGCTGTAAACAAACTTTATGGGACTGTGGGAAACTTGACTACACCCATGTTAAGTGGACACCTCACTAACTCAAATCATATCAGACCACAGGTATTGCCGGAACAGAGTGTGCTGAACTACAGAGGTTCAACCTGGCCCACATTAAAACAGCAAGGAGTGAGGGAAAAAATACCAGCCTGCCCTCAGCCAACATGGCTACAATGGCAAGACTTATCACCACCCCCCATATAGACAGAGCTATGCTGATAAAAGCTGGCTTCTATGGGCTTAGCTAATGTAGTCTGGGGAAGTTATGTAGCTATGCATCAAAACAACTCCTCTGACAGCTTAAGCTGCGTTTCTGCTAGTGGTCTTAGCCAGCATAGTTATATCCACTAAGGCTCTGTAGTACAGACATGGCCTTAGAAGGAAAGAAATGGCTCCAAGTACTTGACTCAGGACTTGGGGATGCTCACATTCAGGTCAATGTGAGTTTTGCCATTGACTTCAGCATGTGCAGGATCAGGCTCTCACTGGCCAATTGACTTTTTGGACTTGCACTAGTTTAGCTGAACCATAGTAGCCATTCAAACACATATAGGTTTTGGTAAATGTGAAAGGTTAGCACTCTCCTCTGCCTTACAAACTCATATCACCTCAGGATATTGAGTGAATTTCTGAGCCATCATGGTGTGTTTAATTTATACAGAACTAAAACACTTTATCTAATTCTGAAGGGCAATAACCTTAAGACAACTATAGGCTTTTCTGTGCCAAGTGACTAATGGTACAAGTGGTAATTTTAAATTTAATCCCTTAAAAGATCCCTTAAAGATACTAGTTTTGAATGCCAAAACTAATGGCCTTGTATTTGCTGTTCACTTACATCTAAATAGGAAATATCATGCTATTGAAATAAAAATTATATGAGTAATTGTTTCTTCTTTGGAAATAAATAAAATGATTCAGCTAAAAGTTATGCAATAATTTTACAGTTAGGGAGTATTTACATTAGAAAGAAAATCTTGGATTTAAAATGGCTAGATAATTTAATATGCTTTGAAAGAACAGTAAGCAGGCAAATTCTTGGTGTGAAAATTTTCTGTATCTGATAATAAAAAGGTCCTGAAAAATGTGAAGAACCTGCAAGTCCCCTAAGGAACTTTTCTCTTTGAATATGGCAGTTCCTCGGTGGACATTTTGTTCCCCACATGAGAATATACATTACAACTGGGAAGTCATGGAACTTTATTATTAAAAGTGGTTTGGGATTACATTTTCAAAAGCACCTCAGTGATGCAGGTATATTAAGTCCAAGAAGGGATTTAGTCACTTTGGAATTGAAAGCCAATGGAATGTAGACTTCAAAATACCTAAATCCCTTTTGAAAATGGGATTAAAACACTATTAAATAATTTAGGCACTTTTGAAAATGTTACTTGTAGGCTCAAATCTTTGGGGCTACTAGGAATTTTGTCTAAACAGGCATCTAACAGTACACTTTATAAATGCAGCCCAATGCATGCATTTCCAATCCATATGTTTGTACAGTAGTTACAGAGCATGAAAGTGCCTAACCTTGGCTCTAGGCACTTGTAATTAAAATAAGCATATCAACCGGTTATTTTTCCTTTGCAGAGCTTAATTATACTAGCCGCAGTATATGACCATTGTATCTTCCCTGTGGTGGATTGGTGAGGCTTGGTCTGTGAAACCAAGCTGTTGTGGATCCAGAGGACTTATTCTGGACCCATCCTTGCTGTAACTTGACTCCTCTCCATAGGCTGCTGTGGAACTGTGCTCCATGTTGTGTAGGGGTAGAATGACCACCTGCATGGTCTCAGCACATAGACCTCTCCCTCCTGCAGCAAATCTGTACCAGTTCTACTGTATTCCAGACCTTTCCCATAGCCTTTGAATTAGGCTGGAGGGTTTGGCTCTTGGCGATTTCACTTTATCAAAGGGCCATCATTTTTTCCTACGTTCCTGCCTCATGAAAACTATTCTCCCTCTCCCTCCATACACCTCTAAGAAGTACAGTACCATTATAGCAATATTCTTCACAGGGCAAGCCCTGCATTAACTACTATGCTCACACAGAAAATTATGAAGTCAAAAAGCAGCAGACCATCTTCTCCCCCTACTCTGTGTGGGTGGAAGGGAGGGTCATTTCCCACAGGCTCTCTTTTCAGCAGCCGGCAACTCCAGGACCACTGCTGGGTCCCTCATCTCTGTGTGTCTGTGTGGGAGGACTTGCACTCTGCCTGAGCCAAGGCACAGCTCACACAATATCAATTGTTCCTGTTCACACACTCAAACTCAAGAGCAAACAGTATTTTTCTCTACCTCTTCCTGGGCTCAGAACCCAACCCAGAAGGCTGGCAGAAGGTTGGGGTTAGCCAGAGAATAGACTAAATGTCCTAGAGTTTGTTCAGATTCAGCTTATTTTTCCAGATTCCCTCCTCTCCAGTTCAGAAAAGGTTGGAAATTGGAAACCAGTCTGGGCCTCCCTCTGGTAAAATGTTATTTTTCCAGCAGACAGTCCTGCACTATAGCCCCCATCCTGCCAGCATGCCCTTTCTCAGAAGGTTGGGGTTAGCCAGAGAATAGACTAAATGTCCTAGAGTTTGTTCAGATTCAGCTTATTTTTCCAGATTCCCTCCTCTCCAGTTCAGAAAAGGTTGGAAATTGGAAACCAGTCTGGGCCTCCCTCTGGTAAAATGTTATTTTTCCAGCAGACAGTCCTGCACTATAGCCCCCATCCTGCCAGCATGCCCTTTCTCAGCTTTAAGCAAGCAAGCAGTCCCACTGCTCATGCCCGTAACTGCTGGCAGGATTGGTGCCTATGTATCTGTTTGACCCCATTTATTTCTGGGGTGGCATGGAGTCATTGGATGATTGGCCCCTTTAAGGGGTGCTGGGGTCAGTTATACCTATGCTATAAACAACTGGGTCCTTCCCATCCTCTTTCTGGGGTACCCTTGAGAATCTTCCTGCCACTCATACAAATCACTGGGGCCTTAAGCAGGTTCCTTTGAAGTACCCAACCTTCTCCAGACCCTGCCTGAGGGCATTCCACAGGCGCCTACCTGCTGCTTATGGCTCCACACCCCAGACTCTTCCTGCTCAGCCCTTCTATAAAAGAACAGGTGTCTATTAATCTATCACCTTGGTCCCACCCCCTCAGGTTGAGAAGATGCTAATTATCTGGGACATGGTGTGGCTGGCCCCATCTCCCACTGAAGTGCCTAGTCACCCTGTGACACTTGGTCCACTCTGCACGCATTCATAAAGGAAAGATCTGTGACCACATGGTCTTCTTTAAGGATATGCTATTCACAGCTGCACACATCAGTCGTTGCCATCCTTAGACCACATAGGTATATCTAAATGGCACACTTTGTCCTGTGTCTGGAGACAATCATACTGGAACTAGAAAAGTATTGCAAATAATATGTGGGAATACATTTGTTGCTTTAAATGTTAAATGATTAATTTATTGAGGTGGATCTCTCTCTGTGTGCATGATAGTCCTGACTTGTAGCACTATATATTATTAAGGTTGCCTGATACTTCCTGTTATAAAACTCAGTTTCAGTTGCTTATAGTTTTCCCAAACTTGAAGCATTTGGGCTGCAATTTTCCATATTTGCTTTCTGCCTCTGGCTAAATTTTTTGGGACGTTTCTGCCAAACAGGTTCAGCCATTTACAAGCATAAGGCTAGGGAAAAACATATTTTGCCTAGAGCTGGTGACTTATTCTTTAAGACACTCTACAGTCCCCACTCCTTGGAAGGTGGCCACTGTTTCAGGGATTAGCCTTTTGCCATCCCTGCAAAAATCTGCCCAAATTTGGCCAATTTATAAACCTCTGAAAAATCATTTTGTACGTGCCCCATAGAAGCTAAGATCCCCAGCTTCCCTGGATCTGGTCTCTGAAACTCAGTGTCCCCCTCCCTTTCAGCAATGGGGAGCCCATGATGGCACTCCAGCACCTCCCATCTCACTGTGGGGCTAGAGAACACTAGTCCTGGGCTGCTCTATGCTCTGGTGTGCAAGGGGAATGTTGGAGTGTCTTTCTTCTTTTTTTTCTGCAGATTCTGACCCCAAAAAGGTTCCCCAGCCCTGATTTTAGAAGCTAAATTCTCAAAGTGTTATCCATGCTGGGCATGCTCCAGATACAGGCTGAGCAGGACTTTCCATGAAATTTCAGCTCTGGCTCCTATAGGCCAGACCAGGCCAGGACCAAGCACCTGAAGTGAGATCAGGGCAGCTATTTCTTCTGTGCTTAAAATGACACCTGACATCTCCCCTCTCCCTTGCTGGGACCAGGCATGTCCCTCTACCCCAAGCTCCCACTCTGTTTCCCTCTTCCCCCATGACCACTTCACGCTTCCACTCCCAGGGTCTGGCTACACTAGCCACCCTAGTTCGAACTAGGGTGGCTAATGTAGTCATTCGAACTTGCAAATGAAGCTCGGGATTAAAATATCCCGGGCTTCATTTGCATGTTCCCAGGCGCCGCCATTTTTAAATGCCCGGTAGCTCGAACTACCTGCCCGCGCTACACACAGCATGGGCCAGGTAGTCCGAATTAACACTCTTAGTTCGAACTACTGTTACTCCTCATTGCAGGAGGAATAATGGTAGTTCGAATTAAGAGTGTTAATTCGAACTACCTAGCCCGTGCCGCATGTAGCCACGGGCAGGTAGTTCGAGCTACCAGGCATTTAAAAATGGCAGCGCCCAGGAACATGCAAATGAAGCCCAGGATATTTTAATCCCGGGCTTCATTTGCAAGTTCGAATGACTACATTAGCCACCCTAGTTCGAACTAGGGTGGCTAGTGTAGCCAGACCCTGGGAGTGGAAGCGTGAAGTGGTCATGGGGGAAGAGGGAAACAGAGTGGGAGCTTGGGGTAGAGGGACATTAGCTAGCAAGGAGACTTGGACTGCAGACAAATAGAAGAACAGGAGAAGGAAAGATAGATTTGACGAAGAGATGGGTTGTCAGTGGAGAATAGAGATTGGCTGGACAAAGAGACTGGAACAAAAATACCACAGAGGGAGACTGGAACTGGGGAACAACGATAGGTGTAGGGAGATGAACAGAGATCAGGGTTAAGGAGAGGAACAGATTAGATGATGAGCCAGGAAGGTCGTGAAGAAAAAATAACATTGTATCATGTTATTAAAGAATGCACTATAATACATACACACAATAGGGCTGAATTAAGGTTGTCCAGGCATCCTTAATTCTGGTAATTCCTAACTTTCGAGCACTTGATTTTGTAAACTTGACAATATTATTTTGACATAATTTTTGTGTTAATATATGTGTGTGTTTGATGGTTGTACGTGCACGATTATATGTTTATCATGGGGGAAAAAATCATGTATATGCAGAATAAGTTACTCACATGGACATGTCCAGCGGCAGCCACAGGTTTCCTCAGTTTTAACAGCAGGAAGATTATTGTGACACGTAGGTTTTGACATCTTCTCACAATTAATTTGATGACTGTCCAGAACTGTGTAGCCACCTGGCAAGCATGTCATAATGTGACACTGGTCCAGTAATGTCCATTGGTCACCAGGCTATGCAAGAAGACATACTGATATTAAAATAGGATTTGAGCCAAGAGAAGAAAATGCAAACAACAACCAGACAGTGTTCCAGAACCTAAATCTAGCAAGTAAAGTGACACTGCCAGGAGTGCTGTTCAAAATAGCCTTGGATAATTAAATAATAGTATGCAACGTAACAGGGAGTTCATGGGCATGGGAAAGTTAATGTTAGAAACATTGCAAGAAATAGACTGTGAAATTCCATGCAAAAGATAACAGTCTAGAATGGAGATGCTTTTCTGGAAGAGAATGAACTATTTGGTCCTTTCTATTGTTAGCATAGCAGCCCTGCAACATACATGGACAACACAGTCAAAAAATTTCCCATTGCTTTTCTTTAAATACCAGTGTCTTTGTTTTTTGTGAGTGTAAAATTGTTTTGGAAAGTATTCTGAATAA